GTTAATAACCTCTTTTTCTCTGGTGTAAAAAACTCAGAACACATATTTATTTAATATTGCTTTACACAGACTTTAAAATTATAAAGGTCCTACAGTAATGTATGAAAAAATACTAAAATAATACTGGTAAATTAAAATGTAAGCATAAAAATGTGATTTCACATTAATGTACATATTTTTTATGATTAAGAATAAATACACGTTTGCCTCAGCCAATGGAATGGAAGAGAAATAGGATTGTGCATTACTTAAAGTAATTTCGATATTATAGTGCTAATTCAAAATGTAACATGTTAATAAATGTATTCTTCTAAAACAATCTGATTATTCAATGTGCGCTACTCGCAAAGTATTAACACTGACCTTGTGCAATCATGTTTGTCTATATGTGTAATGTTTGGTGTTTGATATTCTAGTCTGTGGAGAAACTTCTGCTTGCCCTCTGAACTCCATGACCTTTCAGTGTGTGTGAGTGTGTGATGACAGCCTGTGGCATTTCTGTTCAGAAGGTTTCCACCCAGGTGAAGTACGAGAGGTCACAACACACTCAACGCACTCACTAAGATACAGACATCCAGAGTCTGAGGTCAGAGGTCACGCACTGAGGGTGAGTGATGAGGGCAGCTACAGCCTCCAGGATGCAACACTCACTCGCAACACATGCGAACAAACATTTGCCACAATGTATGCATTGTGGTTATGAATGATTAACTCAAATTCAAATATTTTGTTAATGCTTTATAATAAAATTCTATAAGTTAACACTATAGTTAATGTATACATTATACTTTTTCAGCATTTATTAATTTCTACAAACATTACCATTCAAAAGTTTAGGGTCAGTAAAGGACAGTAAAAACATTTATAATGCTACAAAAAAACCTGTTCTTTTGAACTTTTCATCAAATCCTGAAAAACAAGTATCAAGGTTTACACAAAAATATTAAGCAGCACATCCATTCTCGACATTGATAATAATAAGAAATGTTTCTTGAGCACCAAATCAGCATATTAGATTGATACCTGAAGAATCATGTGACACTGAAGACTGGAGTAATGGCTGCTGAAAATTCAGTTTTACCATCATAAATTACATTTTAAAAGAGAAAACATGCTTTTTTTTTTTTTTGGTGTAAACTCTAAAAATAGTTCAAACCAAAAGTATTGCTTAGCGTAAAACATGTTGAAGATTAGCCGATAGGCTGTCGATTCATTAAATGATAAACTGTTTCCTCTAAAAAGCTGTTTATTCAGCTTAGTGAAGCCACTCCTCCATTGACATCCATAAAAAAACAGCCTCTGGTCTCCTTTCCCACTTACTGGCAAACCGGAAGTGTTAGCATTAGCCGTTACGCTTTTTTGGCTAAAGGTTGCAGGCTTGCCTTCTAGTGGCTTTGGCATGGCATCAAAGTAACGTGAGAGCTATAGAGAGCAGATGGCTCCTTATGCTTTCAAATTGCTCTCGCGATATTTCGATGTCATACTTTGATGTTCAAGTCGAACACACCTAACAACTAGAGCGCATTAACTTCAGAGGTTTGCCCACTCAATCGCGAGTTACTGTCATTACCATTAGTTACTACAGCCTACAGTTTGCTAGCTAGCTATGCCTTCGTCACGTAAATGCATATTACCAAACATGTATGGCTGTGTAAATCCAATTAAGCTGCTAGAGGGAGCATCCATTCAGGTTGTAGTGGTTTTTGACAGTTGAGAGAGACGGCACCTTTCTCGCGAGTGGGCGTGGTTTGATATCTTATTTTATTTACTTGGCTGCTTTTTATCATTCAAATTTGGCTGAGTGGTTAATAACCTCTTTTTCTCTGGTGTAAAAAACTCAGAACACATATTTATTTAATATTGCTTTACACAGACTTTAAAATTATAAAGGTCCTACAGTAATGTATGAAAAAATACTAAAATAATACTGGTAAATTAAAATGTAAGCATAAAAATGTGATTTCACATTAATGTACATATTTTTTATGATTAAGAATAAATACACGTTTGCCTCAGCCAATGGAATGGAAGAGAAATAGGATTGTGCATTACTTAAAGTAATTTCGATATTATAGTGCTAATTCAAAATGTAACATGTTAATAAATGTATTCTTCTAAAACAATCTGATTATTCAATGTGCGCTACTCGCAAAGTATTAACACTGACCTTGTGCAATCATGTTTGTCTATATGTGTAATGTTTGGTGTTTGATATTCTAGTCTGTGGAGAAACTTCTGCTTGCCCTCTGAACTCCATGACCTTTCAGTGTGTGTGAGTGTGTGATGACAGCCTGTGGCATTTCTGTTCAGAAGGTTTCCACCCAGGTGAAGTACGAGAGGTCACAACACACTCAACGCACTCACTAAGATACAGACATCCAGAGTCTGAGGTCAGAGGTCACGCACTGAGGGTGAGTGATGAGGGCAGCTACAGCCTCCAGGATGCAACACTCACTCGCAACACATGCGAACAAACATTTGCCACAATGTATGCATTGTGGTTATGAATGATTAACTCAAATTCAAATATTTTGTTAATGCTTTATAATAAAATTCTATAAGTTAACACTATAGTTAATGTATACATTATACTTTTTCAGCATTTATTAATTTCTACAAACATTACCATTCAAAAGTTTAGGGTCAGTAAAGGACAGTAAAAACATTTATAATGCTACAAAAAAACCTGTTCTTTTGAACTTTTCATCAAATCCTGAAAAACAAGTATCAAGGTTTACACAAAAATATTAAGCAGCACATCCATTCTCGACATTGATAATAATAAGAAATGTTTCTTGAGCACCAAATCAGCATATTAGATTGATACCTGAAGAATCATGTGACACTGAAGACTGGAGTAATGGCTGCTGAAAATTCAGTTTTACCATCATAAATTACATTTTAAAAGAGAAAACAATTGTCTTGTAAATTGTAATAATATGTATATATTGTGATATCTGATGCATTAATTAATGTTGATGAATTGAACCTTGTAAGTGTTACCAGTGTTTTTAGAGACATTTTTAAAATATCAAAATACAGTAGAGAGCCTATTAACTGAAGTCTTTTGCAGTTCATAAATCTTTTCAAATTTAAATATAATGATTAATAACTTAAGCCTTTAATAGAGCCATTCATCCAAGTACATGATCTCCTGCTCTTTTTGTCTATGAAAAACTGGTTTTGCATGACCTACATGCTTTAGTAAATTATGCCCTAAATCTGCCCTGTCCACTTAAACCTGATAGACATTTTGTATATCAAGGAGAGGGTGAGCTCATTTTTCCATTATCTGATGTAAAGTATGAACGGTGGCTGCTCTCTCCTGTGGTTTTACTGAGAGTCCAACACTACAAATGCACACAGTTGCACACTTCCTCTCACACTTCTCCTATTGCTCCCTTTTTTCACTCTATCGTGATAATGCAAAAAAAAAACAAAAAAAAAACGGATTAAGCAAAAACACAGAAATGGCAACGAAAAGGAAAAGAGGGGAAATATAACAGAGAGAGAGAATGAAAGAGAGGGGGTTGGAGACAGATGGGCATTTTCAGAGATCATTTATCAAACTCAGGCCCGTTCACTCCCCTCCCCTCTCCAAAACCCCCATGTAATTCAGTAATCATTTTCATTATCATATAATGACCTTACAAAGCCAACAGCAGTTAGCACGGTCACTACAAACCACACAGCTGTTCCCGGCACTGCCCCCTTCATCACCTCCCAAACACGCAATCTGCCCACCGCAGGAATGGACTGTGACCCCTGCAGAGGTCAACGGAGGGATGTAGATGTGACAGGAGTTGTACTATCTACCTGAGCAAGGTCGGTTCTATCTGAGCGTGTGTTCACATGTGTACTTTTTACGTGTCTGTGCAGGCATAAAGGGTGCGAGATCAATGGTTTTGACCCACACCACTGCAGCTTGCATATGGATGAAACAAAAACCTCAAGGTCAAGCCCTTTCGTCTGCCAATGCAAATAAATCTCTAAGAGGTCTTCCTTCTGTAAGTGTTTGATTTTGACCTATGGAAGATACAACACATTTTAAAGCGCAAATCATTCCAGAATATTCCAAAAGCACAGATGGATATGCATATATGGTCCCCTTTACACGCATTGCACTTACCCCTTCATTATAAAAGAGCTCAACCAGGAGGCCTCAGTAAACTTCCAAGGGGGCCTCAGAACCACTTCAAACTATTTAAATTTAAAAATTAAAATAAAATAAACACACACACACACACACACACACACACACACACACACACACATATATATATATATTTTGAATTAATGATAAAGCTAACAGGGTTCAAGTAAAGTTTTAGTACAAACTCTCCCAAACGACTGAACAAAAGGTGTTTTTATTGGGCGGGTGTTTAAAGTGTGGTTCTGATTGGCCGGCGTCCAGCGGCAGCATTAGCACTGAGAGCCACTTGAGCAGCATGAAAAAGTGTCTCTATATCAATAACAGACAAAACAATGAGAGACGGAGAGACAAAGACAGACACAAAGACTCATGAGTGATGATCCTGAGACCTGCTCCATTATGAGCACGCAAGACAGAGAGACACAGACACAGAGAGAGAGAGAGAGAGACAGACACAGAGAGAGACAGCACACACACACACACACATATATATATATTTTGAATTAAAAATGAATCATGGTTTACTTCCGTGGTTAATATATTAACACTCCCAGTTTCTGTTGCCATAATTACAGCAGAAATACCAAAAAATACAAAATAATGTGTTGGAGAATGGGAACTTTAAGACAAAAAGCTTGAGAACAACTGCAACAGAGATACAGATCTAAACGCACATACATGCATTTCATTTATTCAATTTTAAATAATAAATAGAAATGCAGTGCACAGCAGAAACAAAGGCCAGCAGTATAAGATAAAAACATTTTAATTTATTATTATTGTCTTTGCGGTTTATTTACCAAATTTAAATTCCACATGTTGTGTGTTATGGGAAAAAAAGAGATTCCAGTAAAAGTCCAGTAAAATAATTCATAGGAGATTATTTGTTAATCCGGGTGACTGCAGTATCTGTCTTGTCATTTTTATATTACAAGAGAAAAATAAAAAGTAAATGACAAAAATGTGCCAAACATATTTTTAACGAGTCCATCAAAAGAGGTTAACATAAAGAGCCAAAATGTCTGAAGGTGACCTGCATGAGTGCATTAGGTAAGTTAATAAGCCTGAGTACCCATAAGTCAACAGGAGAAGCCTACAGTCACATTTAGCATCTCTGTCCCTCAGGGTAACTTCAGATAGCTGAAAGCAGGTCCAGAGGCCCCACAGTCTGCAACACTCCAACTACTGTTTAAAAAAGCAAATGTCTGTAAGACAATAAAAGCCTTAATCAATCAGCCCGCTGTGCTTATGTTTATGAGCCTGTAGCGCCAACCATCCATCACCCGGTTTTTACCACTCAAAACACAGACACAGAAACAAAAGAAAGGCATAATGTGAGGAGCGGACCTGCTGCATACTAAATTAATAAAACAATCGTAGCCTTTCATGACAAAATAAGCGACATGATTTAGCACGCTGCTCCAAGAAGTTTATTTTCAAGAAGAGTGGTCAGAAATGGATGTTTGTGTTCGGCACTGTGAGTCATGATAGCTGTTATGACAGTCTGTCAAAATAATAGTATTAATACATCACAGCATACAGGTGAGCAGAACGTGGTGTACGACGTTCACTTTATCAGCTCGTGTCGAAGGAGATATTATCAGCTATGAGTTCATTTTTGTCTTAGCAGCGTGTCTTAACCTTAGCCTGAGCTATCTGCCTCCCCTCCCTAAATGTGATTTGTTGACAGCTACTTTACAGACCTGTGCCTGATGTTTCGAAGAGTGACGTTATCTCGCTCCAGAAGGGGGGCAGGAAGTGATAGTGGAAAGGGATGAGTTCAAACACATTGCAGTGTGTGCACACAGAGGAGTGAAGGTAGCTTTATCTAATCACGCTGCTCCGTCTCATGAAATAAACTTCCGTGGCCGTGACCGAGTGTGCAAATGCATTGTGTGTGTAAGTAACCGCTCAGTTTCTTCAGCGGTGAGATGAAACTAAGACTACAAGGTACAAATTGTTCTAATGGTGAAATATTTCTCCACATTTTATTTTTTTTTAAAAATATAATAGAAACAAATCCTATTCAAAAGCTTGGGATCGGTAAGATTTTTATTTTTTTTTTCTCTTATGCTCACCAAGGCTGCATTTATTTTATAAAAAAAAAAAGCTATTGTGATATGTTACAAAAAATTATTGTGAAATATTACATTCTGATTCGGTGCTCAAGTAACACTCTAATATGATTTCTTAAATAAATAAGGGGGGGGGCCTAAAATAACAAAAACAAACAGCAATTCCATTTCCAATTTTTCCATAGCGGTACAGCGCTATCATATTGCAACATTAATATTTTTAATTTCTATAAAACTATGTTGGATAATGTGGATCAGTTAACAACAGCATCTAATTAACTAAAACAAATCATTAGAAGAAACATACCTAATTAAAATACCATCCCACACAGGGCTAAAAGTGTGTGTGCTTGTGTCCTTGACGCCATCTGACAAATGAATCATGGTCTGCTTCGTAGTTTTCATCATCTGATTTAAGAATGCAGTTTTAGCAAATATCAGCACTGTTTACAGGTACCAGCAGCCCAGGGCGTCACTCTGGGGTCAAAGCGAGGGGACGACCCCCTTAAAGGGGCCACTTTACAGAAACAAGAAGATAGCGAGGAGTCCTTATTTTTGTTAAAGCTAAGATGCAAGAATTTCAAGGGGGAAATTCAGTTATTTCAGGCCATACTGACTAATGGTCTGATCTGAATGAAGACAGATTACCACACACATACACACACACACACAGTAGTCTGATGGGAAATAATAAAGCAAGAGAAAGGAGGAGTGTGTGCTAATGTATTGGTATGTGTATATGTGTGTGCACGGCTGGTTCGCTGTGTTATCAGAACAAATGGTCTATGTCTCTCAGTCGCCCTTATCTCAGAGGAAGGAAGTCAATGGGCTATCAGCACATGTGTATGCGTGTGTTTGTGTGAACTCTCTTGGCCTGAAGGATTGTCCTCCTGCTAACTTAAAAAAAAATCCTTTCTTCTATACAATTCACTGAAGATGTGACATTAAACACAAGAGTTTAGCACACTGACACATACCTGTCCCTCCATGTCTGTCTGTGCTGCTGTCTGTCCGTCAGGGCATTCAGTAAAACGTCTGCCATCTCTCTTCTGTTCTCCTGTGCCGTGTTCTCGTCCTCCACCACATCCAGCAGCAGCTGAGTCTGCAAACAAACAACACGGTCCCTTTATAACGTCAAACTACACAAAATCAGTTTTGGTCAGTCAGTCAGTTATGCACAACAATGTAATACAATACACTATACAAACTTTTGGGATCAGTATTTTTTGTTTGTTTTGAAAGAAATTAATACTTTAATTCAGCAAGGATGCACTGAATTAACCAAAAGTGACAGTAAAGACTTTTATAATGGTACAACATTTTTCAATTTCATATAAAGGTATTTTGAACTTTTTATTCATCAAAGAATCCTGAATAACAAGTATCAAGGTTTCCACAAAAATTAGCAGTTGAACTGTTTTCAACATTGATATTAATGAGAAATGTTTCTTGAGCACCGCATCAGCATATTAAAATGATTTCTGAAGGATCATGTGACACTGAAGACTGGAGTAATGACTGCTGTGTACTTTATATACAGAAACCACAACTACTGTAAGTGATAACGTAACGTTGGGCAAAAGCATTACAATTTGCTTAAAATGTCAAAGATATTCAAATTAAACAGCATAAAGGAATGTTGTGTCATGTTTTGACATCATTGACAAAACATTGTTAGCCCTGGAGTGTCTCATAACTTACCGGGATGTGAAGTTTGAATATGTGAAATTGTAATTGAGATCATGGCATAAGGCAAGATTTTCAGTGCAAACCTTCTATTATAGTCACACAATAACAGCAAGGCTTCAGGGTTTTTTTAATTAAATTTTTTTTTAATGCAATAATTTTTCCATAAGGTTCTGCACCTCAAACAATCATAAATTAGTAATACACAACCATACTCACAAGTGAATATTGTTTAAGTAATACATTTATGACTATCACAAATATGGCAGCATAAAACCACATTAGGATTGCACAGCAACTCTGAAACAACTGCTCTTATCTTGAAATAAAGGGGGGGGGGGGTTGGGGAATTTCTTTTTTTTTTTAATCTTACCGACCCCAAACTTTTGAATGGTTGTGTACTTTATATACAGAAACCACAACTACTGTAAGTGATAACGTAACGTTGGGCAAAAGCATTACAATTTGCTTAAAATGTCAAAGATATTCAAATTAAACAGCATAAAGGAATGTTGTGTCATGTTTTGACATCATTGACAAAACATTGTTAGCCCTGGAGTGTCTCATAACTTACCGGGATGTGAAGTTTGAATATGTGAAATTGTAATTGAGATCATGGCATAAGGCAAGATTTTCAGTGCAAACCTTCTATTATAGTCACACAATAACAGCAAGGCTTTGGTAGTATCACTACCAATACTGTGGACAAGCTCTTAGCCAGTGCTTAAACAAATCAATATACATTCATTCCCTTCATGTCAGAGGTCAAATCTATTCTTTACTTATGCTGCAGGACTCCATCTTACAAACATTGATGATTAAGCCAGAATCAGAAACAGCAGAACAAAATTATATTTGCTTTTCAATGATGTTTCAATTTGCATTACTTTTTTAATACAATAATAATACTGTATATATAAACATTTTAAAATATACACCACCATTCAAAAGTTTGTGGTAGATAAAACTTTTTTTTGTTTTTGAAGTCTCTTATGTTCATCAGAGCTGCATTTATTTGATCAAAAATACAGTAAAAAACAGTACTATGTGAAATATTATTAAAATTTTAATATATATATACTGTATATATATATAAATGTAATTTATTTCTGTGATGACAACGCTGAATTTTTTTGAAGCCATTACTCCAGTCTTCAGTGTCACATGAGTTGTCAGAAATCATTACAATATGTTCAAGAAACATTTATTATTATCATCAATGATGAAAACTGTTGTGCTGCTTAATATTTTTGTGGAAACAGTGATATATTCAGTATTCTCAGTATTTTTATGCATGGAAAGTGTAAAAGAACAGCATTTATTTTATCTTTTTAACACTGTAAATGTTTGTACTGTCACTTTCGATTAATTTCGATTTAATTCATCCTTGCTGAAAAAGTATAAATTTCTTTAAAAAAAAAACATTTTAATATAACAATAAAAATGTTACACTATATATTTTTAAAATGATCTGTTTTCTTTTAAAAAGATGCAAGATGCTGAACTTTTCCTCTTTCGCTGTCTTCCTCTACAGTAGCAGGAGCTAAAATGATTGACAGGTGAGAAAGCATACACAAAAAGTGCTCTGAGCGTTGGTTCACCTCACCTGTTTCACAGCAATCTCTTTTTCTTTATTTCTTTTCACCCCTCATTCATCCGTGAGACAGCACTTCTGTCTCTCGCTGAAGCATTACCTGTCAGCGGTCGTTACCTGTTAGAGTCATCCTCAGAAAGTGTCGGGTGAAAGAGTCTGCCAAGACTAACTCTGACTACAGGGTCACGAGGTCAGTTGAATCACATCAGACTAAACATAGATGACACAACAACAGTGATTCACTGATTCATGATTGTGTGTGTGTGTGTGTGTGTGAGTGAGAGAAAAACTGTTATGTGTTTACAAGGTGGGTTGATGAGAGAAATTTTCACAACCAACTTACATTTACCACCCTATATATGTGCACCTTATGTGTGTGTGCTTGTATACCCCTGAATGACGGTAGCTGGGTGATGCTGTGCAGTGCTCCTGGGTTCAGGACCACAGTGAAGAGGGTGAGACAGAGGGCAAGTGACTAACAGAGGCGGCTGTGTGTATTTGTACAAGGAAACACACTTCGGGTTACCCCACACTAACAGAGGGGAAGAATAAACACACATGCACACTCACCAGGACTATGTGACAGGTACACCAGCCAACCAATGGCAGAAAGGCCATCCAAAACACCAACAGAAACCTGAACAGCTAGCGTAAGATAATGTATGACATAAGGATTTAAAATGCATAACAGCCAGTGGGCATTTTCCAGAAAACCTACGTTTGACAAACACACACACACTAAATTTACACAGCTTGACTGTATTTGATCAACTTGTAAAACATACAAAAAATAGGCAGCGTGACAATGGTTTGTGTATGTTTTTTTCTGTTTGATGGACAGATTAGCTGGACATTAGTGTACTCAAAGTAGTTTTATGTTAATGGGATAAAAAAAAAATGTTAAATGCAATTTCAGCATGTCTGTATCATTCAATAATTAAACTGTCAAGAGTATTTGACTTCTCAATAAGCATTTACAGTGGCCTTAAAAACTGGACAACTAAAGGGAAACCAAAATGTACATTTTTATCATTTACTCACCTTAATGTCATTCTAAATCGTTATGATTTTCTTTCTTCTGTGTAACAAAAAATACTATATTTTGAAATAAGTCTTAAGTGTTTTTTGTGCATACAATGGAAGTCATTGGTCATCAAAACAGTTTGGTTGCCATCATTTTTCAAAATATCTTCTTTGATGTTCCACAGAATAAATTAAGTCATACAGGTCTGGAACGATATGAGGGTGAGTAAACGATGACAGAATTTTCATTTTTGGTGGAACTATCACATTAAGAAATGTATGACATTCTTATAATTAGATAAAAAATTCAAATTAAACACAATCTGCAAACAAATGATGCTATAGCTTTACTTGGAACTAACTTTACCAAAATAAAAGTTGGTTAATTACTTCTAACCTACTTTTTTATGTAGTATGCGAAAAGCAGTATGTCAAATGAGTTATGAATAGGACATATTCATAAAACAGTAAGGTTCCACTGATTCTGAAATATGTATCTGATTGGCTTTTTACTATCCCATGAGGCCACAGGAGACACATATTCAGTGTTAAGGAAAAGTGACACCGCTGACATAGTAGGTCACATGACAATAGCAACATGGCACATACAAAATGTCTGGATTATATTCATACTACACAAATGAACTTTTGTGTCAATATAAAATACTTTTTCCACAATCAAAAAGCAAATTCTTCATCAAAAGCAGTACATACTCTAACTGTGAATTCAGAAGCAGCTAACGTCATTTTTAGTGAGTGTATAAAGTCAGAGTAACCAAAGGTGTACAGTAATTCAAAACACTAACATGTTCCACTAATGTTTGACAACCATAAAATTTGCTTGACTACATTTTGTCTCCATTTTAAACAGTATACCTATTGTTTTATCTTGCAAAACCAGGCAAATCTCATTTTTGAGAATGTTTTGCTTGAAAAGTGCTATATTTCTTTCAAATAAATGTCATTCATACATTTTAAAGTGTAGATGAGGTGTTCGAAAACCTTTTGGGGCCTTCTGTGCCAATGCACAGACACTTTTTTTCACTATATGTTGGTTGGTGAGACATGTTTTTGGGGGGAGTTCTGTTATTTCCGGCACAGATGGTCCTCACACCAGTCGATGTACTGAAGCACTGTAAGGGTTCAACTACAGCAGAATACTAGAAGATTGAATCATACATGCCATGTTAAATTTGTTGAGCAGAGGCAATATATAAAAGCATGCATGTCTGTCTGTGTGTGTGTGTGTGTGTGTGTGAGAGATTGAGAGCTTGGCCTTTCAGCCACATTGACCCTCTGATCTCTCTGAGGCTCATCAATTACCTCTCCCCTCAGAGCCAGCACGCTGAGAGAATGGATTATATGAAGTGTAAAACATTAGAAAAATGTGTTCACAACATCACAGCAATGTGTCCGAGGACAGAGGAGGGGACAGATAATAGAAACCCAGCTGCTGAAAAGCACAACGCAACAAGTGACAGCGTTTGAAGGCATTGTAGGGCAGCTCTGTGGGCCACAGGCTTTTGTGCTGGGGTCTGTGGTTCCTCTAGCCAGAGGCAACTGGACATGTGCTTTTTGCTTGAGCTAATGAGGCAAAGGCTAAAAGCTTTGTGATTTTCTTTCTTTATCTGCCATGGTTTGTCTCTCTCTCTCTGCTTCTTTTAGGTGGGAAAGTTTTAAAAAGGCAACCGCAAAAGCCCTTTATAACATCTCAAAACACCAAATCTGCTGCCTGATATATCTATAGATTAAGAGTTTAATGATTCTACCACTCTTTCTGTTCACAATATGAGCTAAAA